TCCAAACCCCCCATCCCCTCCCCCATCCCCAAAAGTTTCTCAGCGGATTTGGGCTGTACTCAGCAAGCGCAGTACAGCCCCCAACCCAGATTTGAAAAAAAATCAGTGGATGGTTCGGCAGACCGCCGACCGGTCGACCCTACTGGTCGGCTGGAATACGTTCGGCGGTCGGGGTCGGCGGTCGGCAGGTATGCAACCCTGATATCTATATTGTAGTCCATAAAAGGATGGTGGACAAAAGGCAACATACCCGACACAGAAGGCTCCACCAACAAGAAAGCACTGACCACAACTGCCAATGGTCTGAAAAAACTTGGAGAGCCCTCTGAGTCGGACGACAAAGTCGTAAGATTAATTACAGAAGTACAACAGGACTGACACTGCTATTCATCGCAAACGACCCACTCACGTCGCCATCATCTCTATCACTCCATGGCTAGATAACCCCCCTTTTTCACTTCGCAGTCTAACCCCTGGAGTGTATAGAGTGCCATAATCCCAAACTCCATGAGATCTCGACACGAAACCAGGAGCGCTACTGCTTAAAAACACACTGGAAGGCCCCATTTCTTCCAATGCATTTGCTCCAAAAGAGCCGCCTGTGGGAATGACACCCACAGCAGACACTCTCTGATACCGTGGCATAAACTCCTAACATAGATTCCCATCCCAAAAACAACTCGTGGCCACCCACAAACATTCCTTCCTCAACGAAACAGCCCAAGCTCCACCTAAGCAGGGCAAAAAATTAGGCCATGTATAATAAACAAAATAACCGAGCATCCAACCACAAAGAAGAATAGCTCGCTGGTACAAGCCCGAACCTAACTGCTCAAATCTGCCAGGACAGAGAGCTAGCAAGAACGGAATGTGTGTTTTGCAAAAAAAAAAAAACTCTCTCTCTCGCTCTCTCTCATTCCATGCCCCAATCATCACAAACCATCCATGAAACAAAGAAAGGTATAAATAGGCAATGTAGTACAAGATGTGTGTGTGTGTGTTCTGTGTGTGTGTGTGTGTGTGTGTGTGTGTGTGTGTGTGTGTGTGTGTGTGTGTGTGTGTGTGTGTGTGAGGTCATGAGAGCTAGAGAGAGAGAGAGAGAGAGAGAGACCCACATTCAG